AGAAGCATCTGCTGCTGCAGTTTAGGATATGATGTGATAGGTCCCTGCTCCAGCCCTGTAGAAGAAGCAGAAGAAATCAGGTCTCAGCTGTGCCCATTGTCAGTGGAAACCCACCCTCGTGGATGGTTTCAGTAAATGTGCCAGCCTGGAAGTCGCTGCAGATGATAATTAAACAGGTGGTTGCTTCCACATGCCTTCCTATTGCTGTGACTATGAAAGATTTCCCTGGAACAAGAGAAAGAACTGTTGATATTAATAGTTCAGATTACCACATTGAAAGGTACCAGACCTTAGTACTGAAATGTTACAGATGTGCTCTCTCATTTCAACAGCATATATTCCACATGGACATCAGCAGGGCTGATTTTTCACCCAGGACTTTGAAGAGTGTATTTCTCACACTTGTCTTTTGACAGTTCAGGCAACAGTTCGGGTTTTCTTTCCCCTCTTAAAAAAAAAAAAAAAAAATTATGAAGATTTTCCTGTCAGATTCACTAGGATTTTGGTTCTGAATCAATTCCTGTCTCTCAGCTCTCTGTATGTGAAAACCTGGTCATTAATCAAGATTTCCCTTCTGCCATTTATTGAAATTATGGCACAGGGAGAACTCAGGAATATTCATATAGAATATCTAGCAACATGGCAGCAATACACATTCAATCATGTGTGGTAAGTCCCATGTTGAGATTCTCTTTCACAACGAAGTAGTCGTGAATTGCAGCAGGTTGCCCAGGGAGATGGTGGTGGGTGCCTTGTCCCTGTAGACACTCAAGGTCAGGCAGGACAGGGTTTGGAGAAACCTTATCTAGCTGTAGATGTTCCTGTTCTTTTCAGTAGAGTTGGACTAGATGACCTTTAAAGGTCTCTTACAACTCATACAAGTCTATGATTCTAAGTCAGTAGATTGTTGTTTAGGCATGACAATTGAACTCCTGCTATCTATGACAGAGATTAAAAAAAAAAAGACGAAAAGTACATCTTTTGTTAAGGGGTGCCTAACTGCCTCACTCCACAAAAATGTTTAGAATTTACAAAAACAGCAGTGACTTTCTGTCAGTTTTACTCTTCATATGAACCGATAATGAACTTCTGTTCATGATGTTGACTTACGGGATTTCCCTGAATTCCCTTCACTTTGCTGACTGCATCCTATTTACAACCCTTAATCTGTCATGTTTATCTTTGGAACTAGTTTAATTATGTGTTCCATACTGCCTGTCATGAAGGAGATTTTCAGTTTTACAGATAATGAAGGTATAGTAAGCTCTCTTAGGCATCAAGGCTGTAATAACAAATTAAGACAGTGTCATATTAAATCCCCTGAAAATAAGAATGATAACAGAATGCTTCATATCTGTGAACTCTTATCCAGACTAACTAATTTTAAAGCAATATGAAAGATCAGAAGTGGCAAGTTTACTTCAGGAGAGAGAGCAGAGGTTACTCATAGGGTCAAATCTTCAAGAGCTCTCATCTCATTTATAGAACCATTTAGCCCATCCTTAGAGAGGCGGATATTACAGAATATCAGATCTATTTTCTATCCCAGGAAATCCTCAGATACCCTCATTTGTAATTTGTTGGTGATATTTTTTTTTTAGTGCTCCTCACAGAAATCTCTTCCCTAGCATGTTGAACGGGACTCTGATATTTTATATCTGTCTTGCTATTTACACGTATATTTAGTACTTAGCTCCCACAGTTTATGTCTCTGGCCAGAGAAACGTAGAGATTGTTTTATGTCAATTTTACTGGTCTCAGAACCAGCACGCTTTTGAGCACAGAGTACAACTCTATACCTGCTCCAAATTGGACTATAGGCATTGCTCCTAACAGCCTTTCCACCAGACAAAGATTGCCTCAGCCCACTGCAGAGAAGACAGGATTGGGCCTTCTGGCTCTATTTCAGTTGGAGTTTCTGAGCCAGTGAGGAGAGAAGACTTTCCAGGTGCTTGAAGATGTTGATGAAATGTAAGAAGTGGGCTACGAGATGGGATTTTGTCCAAATCACCATGGAGCACACAGTTATTTATGGGATGGGAAATATTCTTTTATTAGAATTTTCAGCATTTGTCTTGGTATAATAATAGCCATCAAACTGACTGTACGGTGACTGTGCCATTTTCCCATATTTCTTTTACTTGATTTGATCATCTCTTTCTGCAAAGTGTCATTGTCAGAAACCATTATCTGCAAAACTGTGAAATGAAAGCCTCACCAATCATTTGCTTTATGAAGAATATCCAGTCCTTAAATCTTAATTGAAGAATAAATAATTGCACAGCTTAGCATTCCCCTTGCAAAGTACACTCAGTTACAGAGAATAAAAATGGCACAAGTTTCAACTCTTTTCTCAGGTATTTTATTAAGAGAATGTAAAAGGGTAATAAAGCAAGAAAGGCATGAAATAGTTTTAAACCAGCAAGAAATGTTTGGCCTCTGTTGTAATGTTAGAAACTGTGCACGGGTCAGCCTCTATATCATTGTCTGCAGATAAAGGCTAGCTGTCAGGTAAGAACATCAGAAAATCATAGAATCATAGAACGGCGTGGGTTGGAGGATCCTTAAAGCCCACCCAGTTCCAACCCCTGCCATGGGCAGGTTGCCCCCCACCAGCTCAGGTTGCCCAAGATCCCATCCAACCTGGCCTTGAGCACCTCAGGGATGAAGCATCCACAGCTTCTCTGGGCAGCCTGTGTCAGGGCCTCACCATGCCCTGAGTAAAAAATTTTTTCCTGACTCTGTTGATGTTAATCTGCCCTCTTTTAGTTTAAAGCTATTCCCCCTTGTACTATTGATACCAGACTGTGTAAAAAGTCGGTAACCCCTCCTGTGTGTAAGCTCCCTTCAGGTACTGGAAGGATGCAACGAGGCCTCCCCAGCTCCTTCTCTTTTCCAAGCTAAACAAGCCCAGAAAACTTCTTTGGGAAGAACTCACGTCAGGAGGGATATCTGCTTATCCCGGAGAGTTCTTTCTGCTATTCACCCTTCTTCTGCCACTCTTAGTGGTATAGAATGATTTTAATGATGTCATTTGCATGCTACATTAATCTTGATGAAGTCAGAATGAAATATCTTGTCTCCCTCAGTCTGAATAAGAAAACCCTTTAAAACCAAAAGGAGTTAATGAATGCTCACGTGAGTATTTTGTGAAGATCTAAATGTCTTTGCTACGTTAAGACATGGTAATAATTTTATTATTGCAACAGAAAGCTTATCACACCAAAGTAGTTAAAATACAAATGGCCAATTAATCTTTGTTTAATTATCAAGGGCAAAACTCTGTTACTCCAAAGCGATGTATCCTTTAACTGCGGATATGTAAAACATTTTGTTACCCTAATTCTGCTGATTTTTCTGCAGGAATACAGAACTATCTGCCTCATACTTTTGTTAGACAACATATTTACTATAATATCATATTGTAGATACTTATATATTTTTTTACAGTATTGTTTAGAAATACATAATATAGAAATACTGGGAGGAGAAGGGATCTAAATCTAATATTAACCAAGATTATTAGCGTGGAAAGGTTTTTTGTTATTAAGAATGTCAATGAGATATTTCAAAATACTTAAGCTCCACTGAAAATAAAGGAAAAGACTAAACATCTTACATGTAGAATTTCCACAAAAAACAGATGCCTGCTTTTCCCACTGATCATCAAGATATTGGGATCCCAGGCTCCTTTACTAATTTGAATTGCTCAGCATCCAGGTCCTCATCAAACAGTGTCTTGTCTAAATTGCCCTTATTACTGAAAATACAGATGTGAATACCCAGCACTCCATCCATAAGGGGTAAAATTCTTTTGCCACCCTGTACCCTGAGGCAGGCTGACATTTTTATGTCTGGCCCAGCCAAAAAGCAATTTGATTCCAACAGTCCTAAATTTTGAGGTCATTTTTTATTTGTAATAAGGATTAGTCAAGCTAACTAGTTAGTCAAGCACTCTGTGAAATGAAAAACCTTTGGCTTTCAGATACTCTCGTTTATTTGATTTATTAGCTTCAACTCTAATTATATTGTATTGTTTTGTATTATAGTGAGTTATCTTGCATTTTGATACCTTATTTAGTAAATTAGTTTGTTTATCCTCAAATCATTGCCGCTTTTTTGTTTTCAGGCCCCTCTCTCTTTTTTTTTTTTTCCTTTTTCCCTTTTTCCCTTCCCTCGGTGTGGTTCCCTGGGTCCCTTTGCCCCGCTAGTCACAGAGCTGGGCGGAACCAGCCCATAAACCATTGACAGATGGGTACAAAGCATAACTTATTAAGCCCATACATAAACTGAAAAAACTAACATCCTTTGAAGGGGCTGCATGTGTTTAATTCAGCTTTGACTCTAATTTATTGTTATTAGTTTGATTTTGTGAACTAGATGAGAGATTAATTCCTCAAACATCTTAAAAGTGTGAATGACAGATATGGAAATGAGTACTGTGGGACATCCCAAAGTACATATAATCTGCATCATTAACCCCAGAAAAGTCTTGCTGGAAAAAAATTATTCTGTATGAGGAAGAAGTACTTTTTTTCCTTGATGGCTAGAGTATCTGCATAGTCATTAAGCAAGTACCAATATACTTCATAATTAGTGTATGTTAGTATATCATTGATGCCTGCTCCTTAAAGGACAGACAACTTTTGAGCATTTCACATCAAGGCAATGCAACTTGATTATGAAATTTTTCCTTAAATTACTAAATTAAAAAAAATAATAATAATAAAGGGTAAATTTCACTGTGATGCAAGGTGACTTCTTAATGCATTTGAACATTTTTTCAGTCATAGTGTTAGATTGTTACATTCCAAACAGATAAACTGTTATTGAGATAAGCTGTCACTGAAAAATATTTAGTATGCCATTATACCAATAATACTAGCCTACATTGATGGTAACAGCAACTTCATGAAAGAGAAAAATCTATGAAATTATCATTAAAGAATCTAATTCCTACATACTTCAATTTACTTTTTTGTTGTTGTTGTTCCCTGTAGGTTGTGACCTCATCCCAGTCCAGTATCTCAGATGGGGTGATCCTGAACCAATTGCAGCAGTTGTTTTTGCGTGCCTGGGTCTGCTGGCAACCTTGTTTGTTACAGCTATATTCATAATGTATCGTGATACTCCAGTGGTCAAATCTTCCAGCCGAGAACTTTGTTACATCATTCTAGCTGGCATCTGCTTGGGTTACTTGTGCACTTTCTGTCTCATCGCAAAACCTCAACAGATTTACTGCTATCTTCAACGAATTGGCATCGGTCTCTCCCCAGCTATGAGTTATTCTGCTTTAGTAACTAAAACCAACCGCATTGCAAGAATCCTGGCTGGCAGCAAGAAGAAAATTTGTACAAAGAAACCTAGATTCATGAGTGCCTGTGCCCAACTTGTTATTGCATTTATCTTGATATGTATACAATTAGGCATAATTGTTGCCCTCTTTATAATGGAGCCACCTGATATAATGCATGATTACCCAAGCATCCGAGAGGTCTACTTGATTTGTAACACCACCAACTTGGGTGTTGTAACCCCCCTTGGATACAATGGATTATTAATTTTGAGTTGCACCTTTTATGCATTTAAGACAAGAAATGTCCCAGCTAATTTCAATGAAGCAAAGTATATTGCCTTTACAATGTATACCACCTGCATCATTTGGCTGGCTTTTGTGCCAATATATTTTGGAAGCAACTACAAGATAATCACCATGTGTTTCTCAGTGAGTCTGAGTGCCACGGTGGCCCTTGGTTGTATGTTTGTGCCCAAGGTCTACATCATCCTTGCTAAGCCTGAAAGGAATGTACGCAGCGCATTCACCACATCAACTGTGGTCCGCATGCACGTAGGGGATGGGAAGTCATCTTCGGCTGCAAGCCGCTCAAGCAGCCTGGTGAACCTGTGGAAAAGAAGGGGATCATCTGGTGAAACACTTAGGTAAAGTCTGCTAATGTGTGAGTGTGGGGAAGTTGTTATGTTTTTCCGAGGGTTCAGTGATAATGCTAATAATGAAAGGACAGAGGGAGATATATTAATTCCCTTTGTCTCACCGCTGAGAGAGGAGAAGTCCTCTTTCCCACATCTACAACAGCTACAGGTCTGATTTAGTCAAAATGTTGTGCAAAAGCGGGACACAGCACAATGGACAAACAATCTCAGAGATGGAAGCATTGGCTGTGTAAACTGTCCAGTTCTTGCAGGGAGGGAAGTAAGATCTTAGCAGGGAGAAAACAAGAACAAGAAATATTACTAATTACCTTGTCCTTAATGCACTCATTTGCAAGCTCTTTCACTTGAATGAATTGCACAGTCACTGTATTTTTTCTCTAGTCACAGCAGGAGGACAACTGAGTGGCTGCTAATGCTACAAAATCAAGGTGGAGTAGCCAACACATGTGGCATCACGAGTGGCCACTCAGGCATCTGAGGATTTGTCTTGTGATTCTTTTGTCTTTTCTCTTCTATTACCTGATTTTCCTTTCTTCTGTTATCTCTCCCTGCCTTCTTTCTCCTTGTCCTTATCTGTCTTCTCTTCTTTACCTATCTTGATATCTTTTTCTCTATTCATCTTCCTAAAAGTCAGTTGCTCATAGGCCCCATGATTGCTACTCTTCCTGCCATCAACCAGATACCTCCTTGTGAGCTATTTCTTTGTTTCTTCCCACAAAAATACCTGAATTCAGTGATCATGATGACAGCTTGTATGTTCATTACATAAAAATTACAGTCAGTGAACACCAAAGGGAAAGGAAAACTCTAAAGTGGGAATACAGTCCAGACTCATAGACAGACTGTGCAGGAGCGCATTCAAGTCAGTGGTTCATTTACGTCTTTTGATCTCTTACACTTTTGATATGTTGGTGATGAGGGTGATTTTGGGTTATTTAATTATTAGCATAAACATGGAAATCTGCCTGTATAAATGCAGAAAAGAAATCTTATCATTCCTCAGCTCTGCATGCCTCGCCCAGAAGTGACAGTCGTATTTCCCTCCTCACTGAAACATATGGATTTCATGATTGATAATATGAGTATTTCTTGATGTGTCATTATTCACACTGAAGTTTACATGGAACAATGGCAATTTGTAGTTCAATTTCTCTATGATCCAAAGTTTTGATTCAAGGGAGAATTTTAGTAATAAAAAACAGAGGGCAGGTTATGTAAAAATGATTATTTGTTTCTGCCAGTTTATTTCTCGTGGTTCTCTTTCAGTGATTTTTAATTGATACATAAATTGATGGGTTTTTACCAGGTATCTTATATCTGTAAATAGCATTATCTTTCAGTTCATTTTCAGGTGAAGAGTAAGATGATGTTTCAAAATAATAAATCCTGTATCAGCTTATGTGATGGTTACCTGAAATGTACCTCTCTACAAACTCTGTCTGTTTGTGTGACCTGAAATGTTGAAGCTAGGAGACCTGCAACCACTTCTGGGCTGTAAAAGAGGCATTCTTCATAGTGTCCTCAACAGGATAACATTATTCCTCTTTTAGATCATTCTTATCTGCCCTCATTTTGGTTTCAGAACTCACTTGCCATCTCACAATATTTTTCCTGGCAAGGAGAAATTACAGATAATGGATCTTGGACTTGGGAAAGATTTGTTTGTCATGTGTTATGGCTCAGTTTAAAAAAAAAAAAAAAAAAAAAAAAATTGCTCTAAAATATTTTTTTTATTCTGAAGAGTATGGAGTGTCTTAAAGACAAGATGTATTTTCTTCTTTTTGAGGACTCTGTTTCATTTCTCTGTCTCTATGTGTAGAATACACCTGCAGTAGAGATGTATTAGTAAAACATAATAGATTATTGATAGTGACTTCTTTTTCAGTAGCATTGAAAATAGCATTGAGAGCATCAGATGCATTTGTGTAAGAATGAAGAAAGCAGCACAAAGCTGATATACTGGCATATTTACCTAGATATGAAAAAACTAGAGTGTTTTATCTGACACTAGGAGAAAAGCTTTCATGCTGCCAGCATTACTCATCAACACTTAAAACTGCAGCAAAATGCCTAAGCCAGTTAAACTGTGATGGTGCCTATGAACTTAACAGTGCTTAGCCAGTATGTGCCTGAAGGGTTTGGGACTCCAACATCAAGCTGATTCCATCAATTATGAGAAATTCTCTAATCAGTGTCTCTTTAGTTGCATGAAAGAAAATGAAACAGAGTCCTAGAATATACTGAAGAAATTTAAAATGCTGCTCAGGAATTTACCTGTATCTGATATCATCTCCAAGAACAAAAAAAAAAACCAAAAACAAACAGAAAGCCACTTTCAGTCTCACTTCTGCTCACTATAGAGCATGAGAAAGTAGAACATTAAAAAATAGAATATTTTATAAAAATTGCACAAAGTAATATGTTTCATGGTATTATTCAGTACAGTGTTCACAATCTTGTTTTGATAGGTTTTTCAAGTAAACACTGAAGTACTCAGAATCAAAGGAAATATGCAGTAGAGCTACATGGTATTATTTAAATAGCACAGTGGGGTTTTATTTAAGAGAGAGTGAGTCACTGTTGAGTTTTAAAGAAAGATGTTATTTAAATCAACAGTGTAGAGAGGAGCCCCTATCATTACCCTTTTTGTTCTTGACACTAATTTATAACAGTGTAGTATTGCATCAAATCATTGTCAAACAGATAATACCAAAGCTCCATTCGGAGCTTTCACATCAGCTGCAAGATGACAGATAACAACACTGTTTTTGCCTAAATAAAGCAATACATCTGTTACAGTCCTAAATGACTTTTTGCATGGGGTGCTCTTCAATAAAATAAAGTAAAAAAAAAAAAAAATAAAAAAAAAATAAAAAAAAAAGCTCAGGCAAGCTGTGACTGAGTGTTGGAATGTATTTTCACCAAAATATATTACTGAGCAGAGTAAAGCTATTCATCACCCAATGAAATAAAAAACATTTCATGTAGACTATTGTGAATCAGCTCTATATTCTATATTCTACCATTGTTTCAAAGTAAGGCATTGTTTCAAATTGGACATCAATAGAAGCAGCACCACAAAGAAGAATGCTGAACACCACATAGCTGTAGTGAAAGGGTAGGTAATGATTGGACAAGGGGATAGAGTTTTAAAATTTAGAGATGAGGTTTAAATATGATGGCAGGGGGATGTTGTTTTGCCACCGAGAGGGTGGCAAGGTACTGGAACAGGTAGTCCAGATAGGTTTTGAATGTCCCATCCCTGGAGGTGCTCAATGCCAGGTTGGATGGAGCCCTGGGCAGCCTGAGCTGCTGGTTGGCAACTAGCCCACAGCATGGGGTTGGAGCTGGGTAAACTTTGAGTTCACAGAATCACCCGGGTTGGAAGGGACCTCAAGGATCATGTAGTTCCAACCCCCCTGCCTAGCAGGGCCACCAAACACACACATTCAGATCAGGTTGCCCAGGACTCTGTCCAACCTGGCCTTAAACACATCCAAGGACGGGGCATCCACAACCTCCCTGGGCAGCCCGTTCCAGGGCCTAACCACTCTTCTTGTATAGAACTTCCCCCTAACATCCAACCTAAATCTTCCATCCTTTCATAGGGACTAGGAAGCCCATAAATCGAGCAAAACTCCATTTTACCTTAAGGTCACAGGGATTATTGTTATATATGAAGCAGAACTCTTTTGGAAATGTCTGAAGTATGGGCTTTGTTTGTCCTCTTCTTATTCTCCAACTACTCTGTAAGATAAAGATGGTGTATTTCTGCTATAAGAGTAGGTACTGTGCTATTTCTAGCCACAGCTGCACACTAAAAGGTCTGTTTTGCTGTTTTGGTCTGGGATAGAGAAAATATTCCAGTGCTTCTTTTACATTTCCAATACCTTACTCCTAAATGACACACAATAATTTAACAGCTGTGGGTGTTTATCTCTTTTGGAACATGTCTTTAAGTGGTTCAAGCCAGGAACATTTTCATTTTCATTGTAACTTCCCTTTAAACACATGCATCTCTCTCAACCTGCAAAAAGGCAAGTTTGCCTTTTATTGTTAATTAAAACCCCCAAACACTCTGTCTCTCCCATGCCTGTGTAGTATTCTTTCAAATCTTACCACTGTTCTTTGCCCTACTCTTCAGCTTGCTCCAAAGTCTTCATAGTGCATGCAGTCCATGCTCCTGGTCTCCAGTTCTCCCACTGCTGGGTATGAATGACGGTGTTTCCTGCCCTTGGCTGCTTCTTCTCATAGGTCTCCAACCCACCTTAAGGGGCTTCTCTGTCACTTGAGCATCAAATTCTGAACTGCTCTTTCCTGTAAAACAAGTGAAAGCCAATGGAAAACTGATACTCTTCTGTAGATCAAGCCTTGACCTGAATGCAGGGAGCAGATCTGTTTAAGCAGTGAGGTGAGAACATCTGGAAGAAGAGAAAACACCGCTCTGAACCTGAGGGACAGCTCTCTGCTTGAAAATTATCATAGAATCATAAAATACATTGAATTAGAAGGGACCCATACAGATCATCAAGTCCAACTCCTGGCTCCACACAGGACCATATGTCTGGGAGTGTTGTCCAGATAATCCTTGAACACCAGCAGCCTGGGGCTGTGCCCGCTGCTCTGACGAGTCTGTTTCATGCCCACCACCCTCTGATGAAGAGCATTTTGCTGATATATAACCTGAATCAGGGCTGTAGTTTGTATGTGTCCCCATTTATTTATGTTTGCAGTGAGACTGAGGGGCCAAAGAAAGAAATTAAGAACCTGTTGGATTTTTTAAATTGCCAGCTGACAGCTGTACCTATGAGTTTCCTGTCTCCCATGGGGAAAAAGTGATGAGCAAGGCAGACTTTTCCGCTGGACTGGGTTCAGCCTTAGACCACAAGTTGTTATAATTGGTATTTACATCAGAATGTCCCAAACTGTGCCATAATGAAGCATTCTGGAAAGTGTTTACAGTCATGCTGTGCACTTTGTTTTCTGCA